AACAATATTTTAATAATTTTTTTGAATTTTGTATGGTTTTTTTCTTTCTTTTTTTTTTTTTTCCTTTTCTCTGTTTTTTATGGGTGTTTTGGAGTTGGCCGGCGAGGGTGGCCAGCCAACCGTCGCCAGCTTTGGGCGATGGCCGCAACGCCCTCGCCGGCCAAAGCGAGGGCGCGCGAGCCCTCGCCCAGATCCGACGAGGGCCGCAATGCCCTCTCCAGATCTGGCTAGGCGAGGGCCGGCAGCCCTCGCCGAATCTGGGCGAGGGCTCGCGTGCCCTCGCTTTGGCCGGCGAGGGTGTCACAGCCCTCGCCCAAAGCCTGTGAGGGTCAACCGGCCACCCTCGTTGGCCAACTCTAAAACCCAAAAAAATAAAATAGAGAAAAGGAAAAAAAGAAGAAGAAAAAAACCATAAAAATTGAAAATAGTATTTAAATATTATTTAAAAATATCCACGTCAGCACCACATGGTCGCCCGACGTCCACGTCAGCAATTTCTGGCCAAAATTGACCGGATGAACTCAATTGGCAGGAAATGTAAAGATTTAGGACTCAATTGGCAAAAGTGCAATAGGCTGATGACTTTTTGAACAATTTTCCCTATATCAATTACCATCCCTAATTTTGAATCCTACAACATTCAATCATTTTGCTACTATTCGACTAAGTCCGTCGCTTATCAATTATCACCAAAAGTTGGTCATTTTTTGGTGCGGCACTTTTCAAGTTTTGCACTTCCATTATTCCGTTCCATAACTCACTCGCCTCTCCTCCTTGTCTATGCTGCCTTTCCTTAGTTTATGTCATGAACCTCTATCTCTACATCCCTCTCTCTCTTCGTCTTCCCTACCAAGCAGCTCGATAGTGGTGTAGCCGAGAGAGAGGTCGTTCCCCTCAATCGCGGCATTGGGGTCGTCGTGTCGTCGTCGGAGATGGCGGCGTTAGTTGGAAGCTACACTAGTAGTGGTTGAAGAGAGATAGAGAGGTGTTTAGAATTTGGAAGTGGTTGATAGTAGTTTGGTTTTTTCATTTCTTGGGGTTCTTTTCTGAAGATGCATTACTATAGATTTCAGAATTGGGGCATACAAGGAAGCTTGAACTCTTGCTCATTTCTTCTTTATACAACAGATGGAGCTTAACATCCATTTTCAGCACAGGACAAGAAGTGAGTAGTTGGGTCCATCAAGCTTTCAAATGAAATGCATTTTTTGTTATTTTATGTGCACGTTCAGAATATTTTAGGAGCATGTAATAATTTATTAAACCTTAGACATTCATGTTGCACACTCGCGCACGATGATCCTGTACATTTGCCCCTTTTCCCAATGTATGTCGAAATTGCCCTTTAAGGTCTCCACGATTGGATCGCACTCGCTTGCATTAAACTAAACTTTGGAAATTGATCTTGAATGTCTACCAGGAAAAATGTCCTCGATGGCCTGCGGTGGATGCACTAACTACATAGTTTGATACTTGTTAGTGCATGGATCGTGTGGATCTGGCATGGAAGCCACATAAAGCTTTAGTGCACGGGACTTTTGCTCGCCCGATATACCTAATAATAGTTTTAGAAGACAGCAACCTTGCTAGATGCCCCATGGAAAGACGAGGTGGTGGCCAGAGGGCGGTCCAAGCATCAAGCAATTGGAGTCGACCGGGCTAGTCATTCCAACATGTCTTGAGATTTCACATGATTTACGCGTTGTCATGTTGTTTCTAAGGGGAAACAAAGAGGATGGCCACCCTCTTTGATTGAAAGATATCAATAAAAATTTGGGAAAACTATCCAAAATATGTTAAATTTATTGTACTTTTACCAATTCAATCCTTAACGTTTCAATTTTGCCAATTGAGTTTCTAAACATTTTTACGTTTTTCCAATTAAGTCCATTCAATCCATTTTAATTAGAAATCGCTGACGTGAATAATTTTTTAAAATTTGATTTTTATTATTTTTATTATTTTCTTTCCCTTTTTCTTTCTCTTTCTTTTTTTCCTTTTTTTTTATCATGTCCGGTGAGGGTCGCCGGCTGACCCTTGTCGACCACAGGCAAGGACCGCTAGGCCCTTGTCAACCACAAGCAAGTATCGTGGCCTTGCCCATACCACATGATCCCTAGTGAGCTTGGAAGAAGAAAATGAAGAAAACAATAATAATTAAAAAATTCGGAAAATATTAAAATATTATTAAAAATTGTCCACAAAAGAACCGGTCGTGCCACGTAGGATGGCTGGCGTCCACGTCATCAATTTTCAGTTAAAATTGACCGGATTGACTCAATTGGCAAAACGTGAAAAAGTTTAAGATTCAATTAGCACAATTAAAAGGTTTAAAACTGAATTGACAAAAGTACAATTTATTTAAGACTTTTCGAACAATTTTCCCCAATAAATTTACATGACTTTTTATTTTAGCAATCAATAAATGCTATCCTCCTGATGTATATACATAATCATATCTTTATTTATTGGTTCGCCCCATAAAATATTGATGGACAAATGACCTCACTTAGGGTTGAGTCTTCCCAAAGCTCTGCCGACATAAATTAAGTCTCAAAATGCTTAGTGGCACGTTCTCTTGTTGCGGTGGAATGGGAGAATTGTAAGGATGCAATGTCTAACCTACCATAAAGTCCGGGAGATATCTTATATGCCATTAAACATATGTTTATACATGTATTTCTTCTAATAAATCGAATTAGTGCAATCCTATGACAGGCCACCGCCAGGGGAGGGGGACAGAAAAATGGTCCACCTCATCATGCACACCAAACACGTCCATCCTCTCATGTTTGGTGGAATAAAGCTTTCATTTGGGTGGCAAATGATTGGACCATGATGGTGAAATTAAGCTTATATATTCACAGCGGATTACTATAATCTCTCTCAAAAGACCATTCGCCGTGACTCATAATGGGTAGATCTCGGAGTAACAAATCTTATCTCCTTGAAAACTTTTGAATTGCGAGAAACTGTCATGTTATTACGATAAATTATCCCTTAAAGGATCGTGAAAGTCTCCTGGATTCATAATTCCATTTCTATGAAGTATGTTTATCTGATCTGTAGTTCATGGAATTGATCCTTTCCCCCTTATTAGAAGTTCAGTAAACATCGCTTTCAAAGAAAAGATGGGACGAGTTGGATTTGAATGCATCGTGGCACAACATCGGGGCGTTAATTAGTGAAGTCACATGGGGGTGCTTCAGGATCACGCGGAAGTAGCATTATAAATCTTCTATCTTCACTAAATTTAATATCTAAGGATCGGCGTAATATACCACTTGATTGTAATATGTTCAAGTAAAAGCTCAAAATCCCGTCGCGCCTATGAACTTCATAATCTACCATGGTCATTTATATATCAAATGCGGTTGACTTTCGCATCTTTGGCTCGCTCGTGCCAGAGCTCCCATGGCCTCGAGCCACAGGCTCTGGTGAGTGACAAGAGAGGGGGCCTGGCAGCGGTGACGATGGTGGCCGAGAGAGAGATAGCTCTTGTTGAGGACATAGTAGCCTAACCCGTACAATCTCAAAACTAGAAAGAATATCTTGCTTCATTTGACCAAGAGATCCTCGGAGGCGCACGAGTTTAGCAAGTTGGTAAAGCTTCTTCTCAAGATATGTGATTTAGTGCCTCTACTGATTGTCCTCGATAGTCCATCTATTGTACCATATGCAGAGCGTACATCTAGCTATTATTATTATTTTTGTTTTGGCAAAAAGCTATTATTATTTACTAATAGTCTATTTACGTGAGAGACCATAATTGCCATGAAGTCGAAAGCTCTTTGCAGATAATTTACATGGCATTTGATGGCACATTTCCGAATTAATCATCCTATTTGGGATGATCTTCTTTCTTGCATGTCCCTATTTAGTTACATGTTATGAAGAATTAGAACACTTGTAGCATCATAAATGGCCCGCCGGCCATTTCTTTGTGCACCCGAAACATATGAGCTCGAACCGATGAATTTTATGGGTCCTATATGAGGTTTGCATTATCTGACGATTGAAATTTAGTAGACTCACCATTGTTGAGAATAGTTCCGAAACTATCACGCTGTCTTTTCCTCGGCATAAATTTCTTCATTCGCATAATCGACAAAAGGTGCGTGTCTAGTAAAATCAGGGTTATCTGCGAAAAGCTCTAAAAGCCCGTACATTTGTGACAATTTTACTCCAAACTATTTTTTACCATAAAAAATCAAGGCTGGTACATTGTGACAAATCTACCCCGCTATTTTTGGCCTTAAAACTCCATTATCATGTGACAATTTTATCCCAAACTAATTTTTAATATTATTTTCGAATTTTTTATTAATTTTTTTATTTTTCTTTACTTTTTTTCCTTTCTCTTCAACCTCCGGCGGTTGTCGGACTAACGGCCAGGCGGGCGGAAGGCTGGTGTCCGCTGCGGCCAGCCATTGGTGGCTCGACCTCGCAGACGTTAGCGAGTCGGCTCGCCACCCAGCGGCAGTCGAGCCTCGCCCCGTTGCGAGCACGACCTCGCCGGCGTTAGCGAGTCGGCCTCGCTTGAGCGAGGTCGGCCTCGCCTTGGCGCCAGCGAGCCGGTGCCCGTCTGAGCGCTCGACCTCGCCAACCGATCAGCGAGGTCGAGCCTCGCCGTTACTGTAACGGCGAGGCCGGCTCATTGGCATAATCGACAAAAGGTGCGTGTCTAGTAAAATCAATTACCTCTCCAAATGCTCGGCCTGTCCGCATTCGAGGGGTGAGAAAGGAAAAAAGAAAGAAAAAAAAAAAAAAAATTAAAAAAATAATAAAAAATAATTGGAAATGTATCTCTGGAAAATCTTGAAAAATTATCAGTGTGTTTGTTTTGTATTAACCTAAAATCAATTACCTCTCCAAATGCTCAGCCTGTCATTCTTGGAAAATCTTGAAAGAAGGTAGGAAACTAGGAGTAGATTACGCAAGTTCATTGCTTTATTGACCTTAAAAGAAGCAAATCAGGGAAACTTCTTTGTCTTCGCCAGTGAAAGATTGGAGAAGAGAGGGATCCCAATCTTGCACCGCAACACCAGTGAGGAGGGTGTTTTCGTGGGACCCTGTGTTGAACCACCAAGAAAGCCAAGGATCCAAGAATTCCACCCCACCAAGAATTACAAGCAAGTGTTGCTTCCGCTGCCGACACTATCTTCTACATAAAGTAACTGGAGGTTGACACACATAGAGAGAGAGAGAGAGAGAGAGAGAGGGAGAGAAGGGAAATGTTGAAAAGCAAAATAGCAGAACAGTAGGAGCTTCCATGTGAAGGGAGAGGGTGAGACACATGTGAAGGGATAGATAAAAGAGAAAGCAATCTCTCTCTCTCTCTCTCTCTCGATCTCTGGGCGGGTGGCAAGCTAGTGCAGAAGAGACATGACCGAGAAATGGGGGTGAAAGATGTGAGTCTGATGGAATACGAATGATCTATCCAGGTGCTCTGTATCTTGTTCTTGCTCGCCTCCATATATGCTTGTGCAGGTAGAGGATGAAGCAACGAGATACAGAGCCCTCAAGAACAAGTAAGACCCTCGAACTTCTTTCTCTTCTTTTTCGCTCCCAGCCCTCTTTTCTGTGGTTTAGATGGGTTATGTTAGCCTTCTGGGTTAGGTTTGATCTTGCCGAACCTGGCGTTTGCTCGGCTGCTGTCTCGGAATTTGATCTTCGCGATGGGAAGATCGATCTTGGTTAGCTGAGTTTCTGGTATGAAGTAGTGCGAAATGTCTCTGCTTTTCGCTTCTATTGTCAAGTGGGCAATTCGGGTGTGGGCGTTCTTAGACAGATCTAGTCAATTTCATTTTCTTGAATTGGGGATTTTGGATTTCTTGATATCCTGTTTTGATGTCTTGAGAATTTTCTTGTTTCGGCTTTTTAAGGTTTTCTTTAACTACTTATTTGGACAACTTAATCAAGCTTGTTGGGTAAAAACCCATTTCTTTTGTGGAGCATTTTAGTACCTTTTGAAGTACTCCGGAGAATGAGCGATGTGGGTATGAATTCTATGCATAGCGAGGTAGCAAAGTTGAATTTTCAAAATGGTCATGGTAAGTCTTGTTTTTGCGTAAGTTTCCAAGTTTGTCGTGCAAAACTTCGGGGAGATCCTTGGGCATTTATCAGGAAAAGCATAGCGATATGATTTAGACTTAAGTAATGTCAAATGGCTTCATCTTGTCTAGAGGAGGAAACTTCATCTTTGCCATGTCAAGTTCTGTAGAAGGGACGGAATGTAAAGTTCTGTTAAGCCAGGTTAGACTCTGCTCCTAGAGTGCTGGCTAGGTGGATTCTCCAGTCACATAATGGTGAAATACACTCTTTTTAAGTGTTATTGACAAAAAAAAAAAACCATTAATTAGGTCATAAGCATGGCATGGGTATTTTATAATCTATCTGTTCCATATTGAGCTTTTGATTGTATGCTTAGCCCAAGCAGCTTCATTCCTTCTGAAATTTTTTGAATCCTGAGAAAGTTTTTCTGTGGTTTTTCCGAATCATTGTACCCCAAGCAAAATTCGAATACCTACATTAATTAATGTAAGTATGTGTTTGTGTATGTTGGTGCTTCTAACTGCATTTGTATCTTGTCAGCATCTTTATAGGGATGCCATTCTTGCCCTTTATACGGAACTGAGAGTCTGAGATTGATCTTTGAAAATTCGTTTAAGCAACAATCCCAAGCACGTCTATCAAACATGATAGTAATGTGAATTTGTTATGCATATTTGACTGTACTGCAACAGCAGTACACAAGTTGGGGAGCATTAATGCATAATTATGGCTGAATCAGTCGTTGAGATCTTAAGAGTATGAGAGGATTGACATAAGTGTGAATCTCTCCGTATGGACATTCCGAAGAGTATCCTTTTGGAATATTGGCCAGTCTTGATCGATGTTTCACACTGATCGTTGCTGATGATGCACTGTAATTATGCGGCACAGTCTTGCTAGTTTCGTAAATTGAAGTTGCACCTGAGGGCAACGTAGTATCATCTCTCTCTTATTTGCTTGTTCAAAATTCAAGTTGCTGCCTTGAATAGCAGGGTTCTGTGAATGCAATTAAATTGATTGCAACTAATCATATGATGGTTTCCAATATTTTGGTCATTAGTATTGGGAAAGTTGTGGTGCAAGCCCTACAGAAAAAGCCAATGTTTTGCATCTCATCAGTGATATACTCTGTGTGTGTGTGTGTGGGTGGCGGGTGCTGGTTTGAGGGGGCGCAATGGGAGCTCGTGTGCATGTGTTGATTCAGTCTAGTGAGCTAACACTAGAACTCGTTCTATTTGCTTTCTGACTGGAATGCATATGGATTCCGCAAGCATGAATTGGTAATGAGGAACATCTTACAAAGGAGGCGAAGTTCGGAATTTTACTATGAGGGACTTATATTTGATTTAAACAAATAGGGGGTGTGCCTCCTATAGTAGATTGATAAATCGAGTCAATCAGACTGAGTTTAATAGGGGGCGTGCATGTTCATTGAAGCTTTGCCAGTCATGGGGGGAGAGAGACTCAAAAGTGAATGAAGGACATTCTAAGATTCTGAAGAGTGCCTTTTGTATTAGTTATCAGTTCCTTGAGATGCTTATTTTGTAGAATGTGTTCCGGATTATGTTCAATTTGAATTCTTGGAAATAATTCGTTCATAACACTTATAATTTGCAGGAACCCCTGACATGGAAACCTCGTCACCCAATAGCGAGATTTGTAGCGTGGACACGTACCTTTCTCTGGGTCTCAGAGAACAGGGCAAAAAAGTTTTGGGCTTTCCTCAAGTTTTGACGCTCCTTTCTTCAGCGCTTGATAGATCTGTCCAGAAGAACGAGAGGCTTCTGGAGACATCACAATCTAAAGATGTAGTCACCATTTTCCACGGTGTAAGACCACCCTCTCTGACCATTCGCCAATATATAGAACGCATCTTCAAGTATTCGGGTTGCAGTCCGTCCTGTTTCGTCATCGCTCAGATTTACATGGATAGATTCGTACAGAACACGGACGTTCACTTGACTTCTCTAAACGTTCATCGCCTTCTGATAACGAGTCTCACAGTAGCAGCGAAATTCATTGACGATGCGTAAGTACCTGCCTCAAGAATCGATTCCTAATGTGCTGGGCGAAGCTTTAGCTGTCTTGAAATGCGAATTCTTGTCCCGTCCTCTTAGCTTTGCAGAGAGAATCCTTGGTCGCGCGCTTTGCCGGTTTCTGAAGTGGTTATTTCTTATGTTCTCTGCAGGTTCTTTAACAATGCGTACTACGCCAAGGTCGGCGGAGTGAGCACGTCGGAGCTGAACCAGCTGGAGATGAAGTTCCTGTTCTGCATAGATTTCCGATTACATGTGAACATCGACACATTCCAGCAATACTGCTTGCTGCTGGAGAAGGAAGTGGCGGTGTCCGAAGGAGCACAAATCGAGCGGTTGATTCAGTCCTGCAGGATCACAGAAAGCTGGTCTAATAAAGATGATTCCACTTGGTACTCCCACAGTTGCTAGATGGTGATCTTGAAGATAGAAAGAGATTGTATTTGTCACTGGTTAGATAAGAAAGAGCAAAATGTTCGTAGTTGAATTTGATGTTGAAACTGAAACCTGCATTGGATGATGATTTGTGTGGTGAAAGCATGCTTTGCTTCCCCTATGGCAGTATAGTGTGGATTCATTTTCTCTTTTTGGAGTTTGTCATATTTTATTTCTTTTATTCTCACCAAAATTTAAAATATTATTCGACTTTAAAAGGATTATGTAAAAATTATACGTGAATTTGCATGTCGACATTTGTCTATCGTGAAAATTTTGGACGTTTCGGATTAAAAAAAAAAATCAAAATGTGGCTGTCGCAAATTTTGCATCATAAAGTATACGTTTATCTAGACACGCCTCTAGAAACTTGATGCCTCTAGAAACTTCAATCGAGCCTTTTGTACTATATCATAGTAATCACTTGGTATTTCCACATTCCGATAAAAAAAAAATATTTCCACTCCTATTTTGAATAACGCACGTCATTTTACCCTACTTTTAGTATTACCATAGATTTATTTGTTATTGAATGAAAACAAACTAATAATATACTAGATTATAATAGAATAAGATATTTATAATTAGATTAAGATTCAAAGGATTTTCTCTCAAGCTTTTACTTCTGGTAACACATTTAAAAACTTCTATTCTTTTGGAATTTAAATGACTACTCGCATGAAGTGAATTGACAAACTGGCAATAAACTCGTTCCAAAGATTATTGGGTCTTCATGGATCGATTTTTTTTTGTCTTTTCTTAATTTAAATCTTTTAATTGATGCATTCTGATTTTGTTTTAATCCGAACCTCTTTTGATACATAAATATATACATAATTTTTAATTTTTTTAAGAAATTAAATAATGTTCTAAATTTCGACAAAAAAGCTAAAAAATCATTCTCTTTTTCTTTTATGCAAATGTAAAAAAACAGGCCTTAATGAAAAGTATTTGAACTCGTTTGTGGCTTCATAAACCACTATATATGTCATATTTGGGCCACTATTTTGAGAATACAAGGTTTTTGACCACTTAGTTATTTTGAATTTTATTTCAATATACTTAATTTTAGAAAAATACCGAAGGACTCTTCAGTTTTTACAATTCAAAATCTACAAGTATACATATTGGTTTTTGCTATTAAATACCAAATTGCATCTGGCATGGGTACACATTGAATTTTATTTGCAAGATAGCAATTTCCTTACCCAAAACACTCTTGTCCATGAGAAAGATCCATCCCCACCAACCTCTGCCTCTGCTGCAGATTACGACGGCCGCTAGTGGTGTTGTAACATTCCAAAGTATCGGATGCCAGAGAGGTTATATCGAGTGATTCGAAAGTAAGATTTAATTTTAAATGGTCACGATAGCACTTATGTTGGGGCTCGGGTCACATGGCATGGGCCGGGTCATGATGGAAGCATGATGGGCCCATAACCCACGAGTCCTGACATCATAATCCGGTTACAGTTTCATGCGGGCCAAGCTTTTGAACGGAGTACTCTAAGCGACCGAAAGGGATACAGATCATATGAGAGCGGTGCCGACCATTTCAGAGTGGATCTTACTTATTGTTGACACCTATTTTTAATTTGCCCAAAATTAATTACACAAAATTTAGGAGTTAATTTTCATTAATTCCTAAAATAAAAAATATTTCTATTTAAATGCATTGCATATAGGAATTAGGCATATTTGCATTAATAGGGCCTATTTGAGCATATTTTCTTAATTAATCCTTAAAAAAAAAAAAAAGTCGGGTCGGGTGAGATTGGTGACCCGGCCCTTTCTTTTTCTTCCTTTCCCCGCGTGGGCTCGGCCCACTTTTCTTTTTCTTTTTCTTCCTGCGCGAGCTGGGCCCGGCCCCTTCCTTCTTCCCCCTCGCCAAGCCGTCGTTCTCCTTTCCCCTGTTCTCCTTTGTTGCTGACGCAGAGGCGACGAGCGGCTGAGCGCGGCCGCCCCGTCCCCATCCGGCCAGAGCAGGATCGGGGCAGCACGCCATAGGGACTGGCCATTAAGGCTAGTCCCTTCTCCCCCCCGTTTCCCGATCTCTCTCTTTCTCTCTCTCTCTCTCTCTCTCTCTCTCCTTCTCCTCTCTGTCTCTGCACATTGAACGGCCCCCCTGCTCTGCACCGGCCTGCCATAGCCACGAAAGTCGTGGAGTGGCGTAGGCCGGTGCAGGCCATCGTCACGCCGACGCGGCCGAGCCCAGACTCGTCGTCGTCAGCTATGAAAGACAGAAAGAGAGAGAGGGAGACGGTCGGTCATTTTTGAGAAAAAACACAGAGAGAGCGTGAGAGTGGAGCCGAGAGAGAAAGGGAGCTTCCGGCGGCCACCGCGCCTCAGCTTCAGCCATCCATCCCCGCCGCCGAGCCGACGGCGGCGACACAGAGAGCCAGAGAGCCTAGGTCGGCCGTTTTGAACAAAAACAGGGAAAGAGAGAAAAACCGAGAGAATGAGAGATTGGGTGTGCTTTTTCCCGTTCTTTTGGCTCACGGGTAGGAGAGTATAGTCGCAGGAGTCCCCCCCGGCGAGCTAGAGCCGCCGGTGATCCGCCGAACCGACGTCGCCGACCGGATCGGATTCCCGGCCATTTGAGAGAGAAAAACAGAGCAGAGAGAGACAGAGAGAGAAAAGAGAGAGAAAGAGTGAGTTTAGAGCGTACCGAGATCACGCCGGAGTACGAACGAGAACCAGCAGCGTTGCCGTCGCCCCCCCGACCAGTCGGAAGCCTCCCAGACGCGCCGTCGACCGGTGAGTCGTCCCCCGGCCCGAACTGCTCTGTTCTCCCCTGTTTTTGCTCCCGGTTTGGCGGGACCCGCGCCGGCCGTTTCGCGCGAGTCCCAGCCCATACCGCCGTCCCCCGCCGTCCGTGCATCATCGTTAAAGGTAAGAACAGGTTTCCCGAGGACGGCGGGGCCTCGAAACAGGTCGGAATCTCCTGTTTTTGGTCGCGCACGCCCGGTGTTCGACAAAATGCCTCAAAGAGGCCGGTTTTTAATTCGGTCGCCGACCGGCGAGCGGCGGTCAAACGGCGACCCAGGTGGACAGCGAGCGGCGGTCAAACGGCAACCCAGGTGGACGGCGAGGCTTGGCGGTGTTCCTAGAAGCCGATTTGGGGGCGGCGCTGGCCTGGGTCAGCCGGCGGACGGCCAATTTTGGCCTCTCCGGCGCCCCCTCCCCGCGGGTCTGTATATTCGGGTCGGTTCCAACCGACTCGGATTAACAGATCCGACCCGAGTCGGTTCCGACCTGATCCGGATTGACCGATCCGACCCGGGTCAACGCCCAGGTCGGATCCGTTGACCCGGGTCGGTTCCGACCTGGCCCGGATCCGCAACCCGACCCGGTTTAATATTATATTAATATTTTTATTTTATTTAAAAAAAAGAAAATTAAAAAAAAATTATTTTTTTTCTTCTGTACTATTATTTATATATGTATATATATATATATATTTTTTTTTTTTTTTCGAAAAAAAAAAATTTCAAATTTTTTTTTTAAAAGTTTTTTTAAAATTATGTTATATCTAAGTGTTTTAATTTATTGTTGTATTATTATGCATGTTATTGTCTTGTTTAAATTAGACAATTCTGAGGTTGTGCGGTAGTATTTTGCATGTTAATTTTATTACTGTTATGCATGTTTTTAATACAATTCCATGAGCTATTGTGTTTTTGAATGTCATCTGACTTAGTTAAGGTTAGAACCTTAGGCTGCATGAATTTTTTGTGTTCCTGACTGCTAATCGTTTCTGATTATGCACTCGCTTGATCACCTCACATGTTAGGAGAAATGTCCTAAAATCAATCCAAATTGCCTGACAATTGTTTTCAGAAATGAACAGGGTAAAATGGTACCGAAAGGGCATTAGTTATCCAACTAGTGTAACCAAGTCCCCGAACTCATTTAATCTCTGGTTCGTAGGAATAGGGTGATTCTCTCATCACCCTATGTGGGTTTCTAATCGACCCACCCCAAATCGATTAGTGGCGACTCCTTGATATAAACCACTTGCATGTTAAACACTTAAACCCTAAGTCGCGATATGGTATGGGCTTGGGAGAGCCCGAGTTAAGTCCCGAACCTAGACTTAGCACGTACCAGGCGAGCCCCCCTTTTTTGCATGTTGTTTAAAAAGGGCTCGGGAGTTCGGTCGCGACACTTATGAATCACTCAAGACCGACCTCTCCTTTCCTTTTTCTTTTTATGTGGCACTCTGGGTTGTCACGAATTCCCTCACTTAAAAAACCGATGTCTTGTTATAAAGACAACCATGATAGCGGGTTTGAGATCCAGAGCTCGATCTTCATTTGCTTAGGGCTTGAGACAAACCGCCAGACCCAAGCACCCGAGCTTCTTGACCCTTTGGACAACTCCAGTGGGAGAATTGGGAAACAAGGTTTGACCAAAGATCAAACCGGACGGCTTGGACTAAAGAAATTGAAAGCTCGCTTCTCAATTATGCTCCGAGACTTCTTTTCTAGCATCCCTACGTGTATACTACACATTTAGATAGCCTCAATCATGTCTCCATCTTGCCGTCGGTGGAATTCCGACGTCGGAAATCCGACGCGGCTCCCCCACCAAATGCTTTGGACATTTGCCTCGTCTGATTTCTGACGCCTGAGTTCCACCGCAAGACCTGATTATGACTTTTTTGAAATACGCTCAAGCTTGAGAAATATATGACTGAATATCTTCCGAGCCTATGACTTCCGAGTTTATAAATTTAGATTTGCGTACGCATTTGCAAATACAAATAAATAGATAAACAGTTTGATTTTTCCATTCTAGATTATACTTCCTTTTCGAGTGTCTGAGCTTCACTCGTGTTTAGACCAAAATTTGCCAAGATAGCATGGCAAAGTCTCGCCAAGCTCGAGGTTAATCCGACTTAATCAGTTCGAACTTGAGTTTGAGTATCGAGCATTGCATATTCAAGTTGAATCGAGCGTCGAGTCAAGCTAGCTATGTGGATCAAGTTGAGCTGTAGTATCAAACGACTCGACTCGGTTCCTATACACTCCTGGCGTTCGAGTTTAAAGTATTTGACCTCACTTGTCTCTTTGCATAAATGCTTCGAAATCACGGAATACGCCTCGGTATACGTCCATTTGGTTTTAACAAGTTTGACTTTGCCA